ACGTGACGGCACAAAAAAATTAATTCTGGAAAGGAGGTCGGGGCAATTACACCTGCCATTGATAATATTGGACAGTATGGTAAGATCTTTTCGTTTCCTACGAACTTCCAGAGAAGGTATGTTTAAATATTGTTGCAATTCCGCATAATTGTAATAAATGTTAAACTTGAATGCTATGTATCTAAGAAAATTATTTTGAACTCCATCCAGTTTACTTTTATGAATTAAGTAGTGTGGGAACCAGACTGAGGAGCAATAATCAAGTTGTGTCCTAACTAAAGAGAAGTATAGCATTTTAATTGTGTTTATATTAGTGAAGTCTTGAGTTGTCCTCTTTACAAAGCCCAGCATTTTCATTGATTTTTGAACTGTAGCAGAGATATGACCATTAAAGCTCATGGAAGAGTCAAAGGTGATCCCTAGATCCTTGATTTGATCGACAGGGTCCAAAACATGTTGAAATAAACTATAATTATAAGTTATTAAATTATGGCTGCGACAAAATCGGATAATGTGACATTTGTTAGTATTTAGATCCATGCCATTACTAGAGCACCAACTTTCTAGTTTATTTAAATCCAACTGCAAAATCTGAGTGTCGGCATAGTCATGAATGATCTTGAAGCATTTCAAGTCATCTGCAAACAATAGGGCTTTAGTGTTAGGAAAGCAAGTTATGATGTCATTAATAAACAGGTTGAATAGTAGCGGTCCTAAGTGAGACCCTTGAGGAACACCCGAAGTAACTGGGAAAATTTGGGAGTAATGATGATTTACTCGAACCTGTTGAGTCCTATTTGTTAGATAACTACCGAGCCATTGTAAGACAATCCCATCAATACCATATAAATTTAGCTTATGAACGAGAAGATCATGGTTCACCTTGTCAAAGGCCTTGGAAAAGTCTGTATATACAGAATCTACCTGTAGACCCTTCTCTAAAGCTTCAGACATAAAGTTAGCATATGTTAATAAGCTTAGTTCAGCAGATTTGCCTGGCGAAAAACCAAATTGTTGGGAATTTAAGATATTGGAGCAGTCGTGAGTTAGAAAATCAGTTATTATACTTTCAAAGATTTTTGGGATTGTGCTTAGGATGGAAATGGGGCGATAATTTATTACATTAGATTTGTTACCCGATTTGTAAATGGGAGTAACATAAGAGAGTTTCCAAAAGTCAGGAAATTCACCTGTGCTCAGTGATTTGTTAAAGATATGAAAAAGTGGCCTAGATAATGCAAAATTAAATGTTTTGAGAAAAATGGGTGGAATTCCATCGGGACCTGACCCTTTATTAGTGTCAAGTGTTGACAGCTTAACATAGATCTTGGAAATTTGGATAAAATAAGAAGATACACATGTTGCAGATTGGATTTCACTTCCATGAAGCGAAATCTTACGTTGTCATTGAGAAAACCCGAGAGCACTAGTTTGGCAAGAGGACTGGGTTTTAATAAGACCAGAGTGAATGAATATTTTAATAACTACAAAAGCGTGTTAGAAAAATACAGATTTACACTTGAAAGTATTTTTAACCTAGATAAGACCGGGATGACTACGATCCTGAACCCACCAAAAATCACAGCTCCAAAAGGGAAAAACAAATTGGTCTTATAACTTCGGCCGAGAGAGGAGAATTAGTAATGTTTGTAGGAATTATCGACGCAATAGGGACTGCACTTGTTCCCGTATACATTTTCCCGAGAGTGAGAAATATAGAAGAGAATCTGGATGGTGGACCTGCATTAAGTGCCGCATTTGGCTATAAGTCGGGGTGGATGACCAGATAATTGTTTGTTAAGACACTTGAGCACATTGTAAAATATACAAAATACAACAAGAAATTCTCCTTCTTATAGATAATCACGAGTTTTACACAACTTTGGAGGCGATTATTTATGCAAGGAAAAATGGACTTGTTCTTATTTTTCCACCACATACATCTCACAAACTCCAGCCACTTGATATTGGAGTTTTTGGCCCCTTTAAAAGTAAATGTGCGGTTTCTATAAATGAATGGTTGTCAAGTAATCCTGGAAAAACAGTCACAGTAAAACTTCTACCTAGAGACACTAAAATCCCATTTTTAGAATATAATCACTTATTTTGAAAAACCAGGAATATGGCCAGTTAATTCGTTAGATTTTACGGACCAAGATTTCGATGCCACTTTGGTATATAATGATAACGAACCTACAGTAAACCCCATGTCTGAGAAACAGGATGGAGAAATTGAAAGTGACAAGAAGATTTTAGAAACCAACCGTCCACCTCTAAAGAAGCTGTGATATTGCCTATTCTTGATAGAGTCGAGAGGAGAATTCTAGAAACATAGCAAAAATTAATGTACCAGTCGAAGTGTTATCTCCTGAGTCTGTTCGACCTCTGTCAATTGTTAGACCCAAAACTGTGTCAAAAAAGCTAATCAAGGAATCTCAAAAATTTACACTGAAACTTCTAAAAAAAAAAAAAATAAATAGAATTCAGGAAATAGAAGCAAACAAGAAAACAAAGCAAAAAATTAAGATTGAAAAATAAAAGGGAGTTTTGAAGAGACCCTGCCCAAATACTGATTCAGTCAAATATAAAAATATAAAATAGGCCAAAAAAGAAGGTATTTGCACGCTCTAGTAACGAATCATCGGGATCTGATTATGTCCATGATAGTGATACAGATGAAAACCTAAGTAAAGAGGACAAAATAGAATTGGGTAACTTTATTCTAGTGAAATTTTCGTTAAAAAATACCACAATATACTATATTGGGTGTGTGTAAGATATTATTTCGGATAATACATATCAGATGAATTATCTTAGGCGCAGAGCTAACTCCAATAAATTCCATTTTCCCCAGGTAGATATAGAAATGTGTACACAAAATGATGTGTACGCTATATTGACAAATCCCATTAAGTCCAGAAGAGATTCAAGTTTAACGTTTTGTTATAATTTTCATAACTACAATGTAAAATGGGAAGCCACTATTTTTTAAAGGTATTTTAGAATTTAGGATTTATTTGTTTTATTAAGATTCAAGTTTAACGATTTGTGTTTTGTTGTAGTTTACAATTACAAATTTTTAATACAATAAAAGCAAATTTCTTTTAAGATTTGTTGAATATTTTAACAATTTTAACCAAAAATATCAATGTGTCGAAACTATTCCTATAACTGGCTTATTGTGCCCTTATAGGAAGCACAATCGGCCAACATACAGACATGTTACAAATAAATATTTTTTGTAAATTATTATTGAAACATTAGCTATGTAAAGGACGTGTCAATTGTCAGTGATCCTTTATTAAAGCCTGGAACATTTTGGCAATGAAAAATCGATTATGGGGCAGAACGTGCCCCAGTCTCCCCTAATTTAATTTGGGGTCTGCAAAATTCTCTAATTTTATAAAAAAATTAATTGCTTGGCAAACCTGTATTTCCAAATATATTTTTAAAATATGTATTTTCCAAATCCATATAACTTGTTTGCATGTCTAACACAAATTGAAATATTAAACAATTACACACTAATGGTATATATATATATATATATATATATATATATATATATATATATATATATATATATATAAAAAAGGAGATAGTTTTTTCGACCGGAAAATATTTATTTTTAAGTGAAGATAATATCAGGTTAGCGGTCCTAAGAAATAAAACTCTTTTCCTTACTTGCTCAATATTTCGCCATTGTTTAATAGCTTCATCAGGAGCGAACTACAAGATTTTTAAATGAAACAATACACTAATAAAATAATTTAAAATTACTACTTACAGGATTTGAGTCAATCGAATAAAATTTTAAATAAAAACAACATTACACTTAAACAAACTTTCGGACAGTGGACACTAAAAATTTAACAGGTTGATAAAATTAAAAATAAAAAGTGTAGACTAGAAATAATTATAGTGAGATAAAACTAAATGATTTTTAATATTGTACAGAGTGATACTAAAATTTTATTTCTAAATAAAATTTAAGTATCACTCTGTAATATATATATATATTAGACAAAAAGATATGAAGATATTTTTTCAGTCCCTCAACACCACTCCTCTCTGTTTCAGTGATTCTTCAGGTATTATTCGTATTTATACAGGGTGTCATTGAAATAGTGTAGTTTAACACGTCACAATTTTCATAAATTTATGTTTATTAATCTGTGAGATACCCATCAAAAAATAAGTAATTTTGCTTTTCGTTTTTCAACTACAGGTTTACCAAACTCTTTGCCTTCAATTTTCTCGAAAACCATTGCTTTAAGCGACTTACAATATGAGTACCTTTTTTATGGAAAATAGGTAGTAGTTTTTAAAAACTAGACTCATGTTGTAAAAAAATCAACCCCTAAAAATTTAATCATAAATCGACCCCTTACTCTTGCAAGAACTACCCTTTCTGATTAAATAAGTAATTTTTCGATATTACCGTTGGATTCAGGAGTAAATTTTATGTCAGCAGTGATTTTTTTCGAAGTTTTATCGTGTTTTTTAAGCTTACAATTAAAAAAAAAAACACTTTTCAAGTTTGCTCTTTTGACTCCCCTAAATCCCTTAATATGTATTTAACGACCCATAGTTATAGGAACTTTTTTTACTAGTTTTAGGAGTACTATCACCTCCCGAATTTTTTTACACTATTTCAATGACACCCTGTATATAACAAACGTGTATAATGTATTACCAAACAATTTTAAAATTATTGCAATATTTTTCTTAAAAAATGTTTTCGAAAAACATTTTTAAATAATCAGTTTTTTGTCCAGAAAAAATAAAATAAGTTTCATTTGTTATTTTTTGGTTACTTTTGGGTATAAGTAATACTTTTATAAATATATATTTTTTTTATATACAAGGTTTTTATAGAAAAACTTGTACCTTTTAATCTTTAAATTCTTGTTTATATTTTTATTCTGTTTTTTATTATTATTACTTAAACCAACAACAGTATTTTTAACCACTAAAGTAATAAAAAAAATATTCCTTACCTGTCATTATTTTTTTCGTTCGATTTGTTATAAGATCCTCTTTCCGAATATTTTGAAGTAATTCTTGTTTCTATATCATTTTCAGGATGTGTGTGTTCGATTATTTCTTTGCAGGTACATTCTGTGTGATTGTAGAACTCTAATTTTTCAATTGTATTATGTTCTTTTCCAATTACTTTTGCCTAAAAAAAAGAAATAATTTTGTTATATTAGAAAAATTGTAATAAAAGGAAATAACCTAGATTTATTGACATAAATTTGACGGTTGACAATAATAATTGTTTTATCCGTGTTTTATCCGTGTTTTATCCACATGTCTCGTCCAAGAGAATGATTAATCATTTATTCGACCTCTAAACAGGGGTGGCAATTTTAAAAAATTTATAATCGCTATATCTCATCAATTAAAGATATCAAAAATGCTTGAAAAAATGTATTTTGTTAAAAATATTACATCATGTCATATTCAACAAATCATTATAATCGAACCCCAAAGCTCAGCAATTTTTACACAAATATAGGATAAAAAAAACTATCCGAAGTTCTATACTTTTATAAATAAATAAACGAAGATTCTATCCTAATCCAAGTTATATATAATTCTCATTTTAACTAAAATAATCAAATGGTAAATCAACAATTTCCAACAAAACCTATGTTCAACCGATTTCATAAACAAATAAACAATATTTAACAAATTGTCAAGCTTTTGGTGCTCCTCAAAATCTATTCAAACCAAATCAAATTAATCCAAATCAATTACCTAAACACGAACTTATGTCAACCCAATCTCAAATTCCTTCACTTATGGGATATTTTAATTAAAGAAAATTATTTACGAAAAGATCCCAATCGAAATTCAAATTTCTATTTTGCCGAATTAAATAACTCACAACAACTACCTACATTTCAGTAGATGAATATCAAATGTAACCTACAAATGAACAACATGAAGATTAATTATACTGATAACAATCAATATAAAATTTAAAAAGACAAAAACGTTTTACGGGCTAGTCTTACGAAAATAATTTTGTAACAGAAATAAATAACCCATTACCCTACTTTGGAATTAAAAACCAACAAAATTATTAATTGATGGCAGTTTAGAAACCATTATAAAATTATTTCCCACACACAATTTATCACGTATTCAAAACGTTCTTAGGTAGCAAAGAAATCAGATATTAAACTGATGTATCAGCATTCGTTGAATTACATTGTAACAATTTTAATTAATTTTATCTTATGGGACTTTTGTGATTACTTTGTAAATATGAATTTTTATAAAGACTTGATAAAAACAAAAACAAAATATAATACGCCATTTTCATAAAATCCCTTTTAAATAAGGACAACCAAACGATTTAAATTTTTGAGTAATATAAATCTAATATTAAAAATCGCAAAAACCCGTCAATTTCATTTTCAAGACGGACACCTATAATGAATACTTTTAACACTTGAGGCTTAACCTTCTAGGAGGGGTAGAATTATTCTGATTTTTGCCAAATAAAATGGCCAGTTAATTATTCTATGGGGTTGCGACAAAGAGCCAGTAAATTTGATCGACACTATCGAGAATCAAATTATCAACAAATTTTATAATGTGTTTTCTGATAAATTGGGTAAATTTAAATATTGTAAAGTAAATTTACCACCAAAACCTAATAGGCACTCTATTTTTTTTGAAGGCTAGACCTGTACCTTTTGCATATCGTAGGCCGATCGAAGAAGAGTTAGAAAAGCTAAAATTAGAAGTAGTAATAAAACCAGTAATGACAAGTTCTTGGGGAACACCAATAGTTCCCATTGTGAAGCCAGATGGAAATTTAAGAATATGTGGAGATTATAAGGCAACAATAAATAAATATTTTGAAAATGTGCCTATTTTTCAATCACTAAATGGAGGTAAAATATTCGTGTTACTAAAATAATTAAAAATGTACTTACATAGAAATAGAGAGACACTAACACTCTCGTTTTAAATTGGCATTGCGTATCGCTATTGCAACAACCGGAGTCCTCTGCACATCTATATAATACTGTACATGCTGGTATATAACTTTTCGTGGGATTTGGATGTTCTTGTTGAACGGATATCACTCTTGGTAAAGGATTCTTGCACTTCGATTGTTGGTTCACTCGAGCATAATGATCTATCACCGCTTTTACCGTTAGTTCTGAAAAATAATAATACCATGTTATTAAATTTAAATCACTATATCCACCTTCTACTGTTGTAACTTGTTGTCTGTATGTAAGAAAGTTTTTAAATAATTTGAAATCTGTTTCTTCTAAGGTATTTAAAAGTAAACGATAGTTAACAGTGTCAAATACTATTGAGATGTTTAGATCTCAGATAAACAAATGAATAATAGATAAGTAACGCGCTGGATGTGTTTGAAGCTACTATGAACCGTTTTATCTATTACTTTCTCTTTCTTCTTGGTCTTTGATGTGATTCGTCTATTTTAAATAGCAGCGCCATTTACTCACAACTGTCAACAAGCATTTGGGTACTGTCAGTTTTGTTTGCACATTTTGTGTGATTTTATATTCGCAGGGCATATTTTTAAAGTTTTTAAAGTGTCTAAAATGTTTATTTAACGAATTTTGTTAGTTGTAAGTCTAAAAATTATTATTCAATGTTTGTTTGCCCTGAAACAAATTTGGAGAAGTTCCACGTCGTTTCAAAGGTAAGTAAATAAAACACATGGGCGGTACACCTCTATCCCTACAAACTGTAGCAATGGAAATTTGTATTCAAATCCTAGAATTATAGAAGGTTGAAGTTGATAAAATTAACATAAATTGGAAATATAAAATATATTGGAAACATTTTATAATATTTTGTTATGAATTCTGCTGGAAAAGATTAATTTAAAGCTGGAAGCAATTCCTATTTTATTCACTTCTCAACTTGGTCCGTCTTCAAGTAAGTTATAATAATATTAATACCTAATACAAATTATTCATACATTATAAACTTGGGAGATTAAATTTAAAAAATAAATGCTATATTGTATTCTCCTAGACAAAGTAAAATTAATCTTAGTGCTTTCTGGAAAGAAAACATTTTATGAAAATATAAACTACTCCAAAGAGTTTCTTGTATCTTAGTAATGAAATGAATTATACTTATAGAATGATTATGTTGTAAATATTTTATAATTCTTTTTAGGGAAAATTTACTTCCTAGTGAATGTAGTAAAAGACAGAGTCTAGAAGTGATTTATAATATGCACATACTGGATCAGAAAATTTAAGTTGTTCCACCGACATTGCTCCAGAAGCTATAGAATAGGTTATTCAATTTATAAAGAAGACATCTATAAAAATGTCCAAATTCAGAGACAAAAGGTTATGCTAAAAATAATACATTTAAAAATGCCCGTTTTTAAAAAAATATTTGTCACATATCATTTTGGAGATCATTAAAATATCTAAAATTCCAAAAACTTTAAAAAACATGTTAAAAGTTTATAAATGATAAGTGTGTTAATATAGAACAAGTCAAAGGGGGTTATTTTCTAACTTTCAGCTGAAAAAACGAAAGCGCCAAGCAGACTTCTCAACAAAGTTCGATCACCAAAACGACAAGCATGTGATTATGGTATTCTCTAATGCTAGACGATTTTGACATTCGTATGTGATTTTAATTTTTGTTGTAATCTGTCATAATAATTATAAATCGTAAATGCTGATTTGTCTAAATATCTAAGGTTAGTATTTGAATGTCATTTTGACATTATTACAATTAGGTATTCCAACGACCTGTCCAAATGGCTACCAGTGGGTAATGACAGTTTAGATATGGCAACCCTGTTGTCATGTTGTCATTAACAGGGTCAATGATACATATATAGTTATATAGATTGATCAAAGCTGGTCGTTTACGAGCGGCCATATTGCCTGGCAAATATTTATTAATCTGAATCGGTTTAGCAAAAATGTGTTTTAAAACCAATTTTTAGCCTTTAGATATTTAAAAAAAAAATAATTGCTTACATTTTTACTTCAAGGCTTAAGCTTATGTTTATTTTGAAAAATATGGATGATCAATCTATGTAACTATCTATTTCATTGACCTTGTCAAATCACTAGGCCTACAGGGTTGCCATAATTTTGCCATATCATAACCCGTCAGAACCCACTGGTAGCCATTCAGTTTGGAATGCCTAATTATAAACTCAATTAGAATATATTAAGGGCAGCGTCTCCTAGGAATTTCTGAACAAAATTATGTCCATTTAGATTCAATCAAGGAGGTGCTGTTACCTACCGACTAGATTGAATTAGTGCAAATTATTACAGAAATCTTTAAGTAACTATAAATATCGACCGACTATCTATTAGGGGATATTGTATTATATTGTATTATAAACCGGTTTTTAGTAGACTGAGTTCGAAGGATCATAATAATAGTCCTGAACATAAAATCTATTTTTCAATAATTGCCGGGATTTTACCAAATAAAAAAAAATTATTTCGTGATTGTGAAAACGGTCCAATCGTTTTATATGCCATTTATAATATTATAAAAATGTTAACTCTAGGAATCATTTTGGAGTATGAGCATACTTTATTTCAATACTTTTATTGTACTGTTTCATAAAGTATTACCTACCTATTACATTTTATTTTTATCGAAAATTGACTTTGTTTCCTGGACCAAAGTAAAGAATGTAGATGCAGATGGTAACAACAAAAACGATATCTTGCCTCACATTAAATATAAATATTTGCTAAAACAAATAATTTGGTTTATATACGGGTAGTAATACGAGGGATGTTTATAATTTCAAGTCACGAATATAGAGTCGTTTCAAAATATATTGCCACAATAATTGGGTCACATTGAGTCGGAGTTGGACGCTTGACGTGTCGCAATTCGCAATATATTTTAAAACTATTCTACCTAATTAATAAATTGTGATTTTGAAGTATCGAATGAAAATTATATTCTCATTGGTTAAAGATGGAAGTTTTTGTCATTTGAATGTTCAAGAATATTAATTGTGATTAATTGGTTAAATACCGAAGTTATCTGTTATCTGATGTTGGTACTAACCTAATGTTTTTGGGTAATTTTGACTGTCATTTTCTGGAATTTCCAGGCCCGCATAAATATTTATCCTATTAAAGTACAAAAACCCTACAATAGATATTATGAGTAGGTATTTAACATTCATTTATCTTATCTTATCTTAGGTAGTTATTTCCTAGAAACATGTCCCTGATTGTCAATAACACATTACCGTATTATATCTGTGCCAATATGACGTCACGACTTTTAATATACTTAATGAAGGCTGGGGGAAGGAGTTAAGAGTCTATAAATTTACAAACAAGCTTACGGGTATTTAGTTTTCAAAATTACATCACACGTTTCTGAAGTGTTTTATTGTGCTGTTTGTTTTTAATAAGTGTTATTTTCTTTAATAGAAAATTGATTTATTTGTGCCAAGTGTCCTAGTGAGTTTCATTGTACATTTTAATCAGTTTTATTTTTGGATAAATTGACATCGACTTCCTGCATTAAAAGTAGGTAGTATTTTTTTTCTATCACTCTCGAGTTCGTCATTGAATAAAAAAATTAAACGCTATAATTTTAACATTCAAATATTTGCAATTAAAAAATAATATTACGTATTAAATTTGACAATAAAAAAACTTGTTATTTAATAATAATGTTCCATTATTCTGAATATATTTTTTCTACGATCAATATCCAAAGTAGGTAGGCTTTTGCACATTAAAATCTAAATAAAAAGTTGACGTTTTCTGCGAATTGTCATAATTTGACATTATTGGCGCACATTACCTAATATTCAAACCCATTTCCATGCTTAAAAATAGAAGATGGCGACATTCATTTAAAAGAAAACCATAACTACTTTTACCAGGTGAAAAATTTCAATATGTTAAAATAATTCATGATTTTTAAGAAATGTGCTAGAAATGATACTATTTTTGATTTATTTTAACAGGTATAATATATGGTATGTTACTTATAGTATAGATTTTTTTATTTCTCGACCTAATTTATTTGTTACGTCTTCAGCAATTGTCGCTTTCAGTTGACATAAACGAAATTGATAAAAAGTGTTTTTCGCATTTTATTTTGACTGTTTCTCTTACTTTCGAATAGAAACTGAGCTTTGTAAACATAAAATGACGGATATGTCAAACTAAAACTGACGGTAAAATGAAACATTGAGTATCGTTAAATGCAACTTTTGAACTAGTTTCAAAAATAGCATTAAAATGATATTATCATTCACAATGTACTAATTTCCTATACTTTTAGTTGATAAATAACCGATAATCATACATCATATAACAAATAGGCGCGTGTCAAAAGGTCACCGGCGAAAAAAGAGTGCCGATGAAAAAAGGTCGTTTCCAATTGTATCATATAAACAGTATCAGAGGCAGTATTATCATCTCGTATATCCCCCGTAAACACACATAATATAAACGGAAATAATCAAATACTAGTCAAAATATTATCGATCGGAGCACCATCTTTATTACATTACATGAAGTAATTATTGATTTTTCGGGGTTGATTTAGAGTTAAATTAGACGCCATTTTTGGTCCAAATTCGTTTTGACATGTTTTTTCAAAGAAAGTGACTTATACATTTCAAATCTACACGTTTTGAAAAATATACAATATTTAAATATTCTGAGTGTACCAAATTCCAAGTAAAGGTTGAACTTAGGTCGTATTACATTTTTTTTTATTATTTGTTTGACATCGAGGTTAAAATAATTCTACACGGCACCTTTGAGATGAAATAAAAGGGGGTTATTTTACATGATTGGTTTTTATTGAAAATAATAAATTTATTAATTTTCAATAGTAAGGTGACCTAAGTTAGACTTTTATTTTTAATTTGGCCAAAAATTAGATTTTTAAACACTACATATTCGGAAAACTGTCGATTTAACTTTTGGTCTACACATACACTTTTAGTACACAGGGGCCAATTTCAGAATTGTAAGGAATCAAAACAATAAACATCATACATTTGCTGACATTTTAATATTCAAGTCATAATATTTAGATATATATTTTAATGTTTGACTTATCTACTTCCGAAAATAAACTTTTTTGAATGCGCTTTACTTTTTTCAAATAGGAACAGCACAACAAGTAGAAAATACCAAAACATTTGTGCTTTACACTTTTGCTAATTGTTGCGTTTATGGAGGGAACTGAGTGCTTTCAAAAATGGTTAGACAAGAAGCCCCCGTTTTAACTCAGCGAAGTAGAAGAAGGTTTCAATCTAGAATATCTGTTAATATTCGCTTCTAACATTTATTTAAGAGACCAAAAATTACATGAGTGAAAATGCATCAGAAGCAGTTGAGGTACCTATGTATCTAGTATTAAAATAAAAATAATTCAATTTGGTGACATACATTTAAATATAATATGTAGCCCATGCAAAACTTCGGTTCCTATGGGATTTCCATTATATTTTTTTGAAAATAGACACTCAACTAACCAATTTTATCCTTTTTGTTATTTATAATTACCACTTTTGATACTTTTATATTGTATTTTTTTATTAATTTTATATTGAATTTTTATAATTTAATTCTTGTATTGTTTTTCAATTTGCGTTAATTGTATGTTAATACATTTTTGGATGAAGCTTAATTGAGTCATATATAAAACATTTTTATCACACACAAGTTGTACATAGACAAAATTTAATTTATGTGATTTATTAGATGTATACAGGAGGTTTTTCAGACATTATACATACCATGTAGGAATAAACTAGCTAGATACTGGCGTCAAATATCTGGAATTATTAATAATTGCTCTCGTGAAAAATGAATGCATGATACGGATTTTCTATTCTTACATAAGTTGTTAAATGGATGTAGGTAATATTACTTACCAGAAGTTACTTGGCCTCGGTCGTAAATTTCTGATTCGGCCGTAAAAGATCAACTAGATACTTACAGCCTTTGGTACACAAATATCTATTTTAATTCTATAAATGTCATTAAAAATTTATGAAAAATGTATTTCTCATCTATAAAATTGTTATTTATGATAAAGAAATATGTTAGTTTATAAGAACAAAAATAAAACCTGAATCGATAACAAATCAGTGAAAATGTTGCTAGAGTTGGGGACGCTTTTATACAAAATTGTAATGTTACTATTTTACTAATAAAGCTACAGTTAATTTATCTTAGCATTTTATTTAAATATAAATATATTATCCGAATAAAATTAATGACGTTAGTCAAGGTTTAAAGGCCTCGTCACTTCAACCTTTTTTATGCTTCTAGTTTATATGTTTGTGAATAGAGATCTATTGTTAATTAACAGTCTCCATTAGATCTTTCTTGGAACAAGATTACAGACTATAAAGGTAAGTTTCAACAAATTTATAGATTGGTCCCAGCAAACATTTAGGTGTAATTTGACGTCGATACTATCTAAATTATATATAATAAATTTGGTCGCAAAATTAGATTTAACCATAATTAAGTAAAATTTACGTTGGCTCGACGTGGATTCGACATAAGTGGAGAATAAGACGACGTCGAAATTTGGTTTTATTTACCAAAATAGGTAGAATTACATCTAAATCCACATTGTAGTAGCCCAGTACGTTTGGTTAGTAATACCTCTCTAGGGAAATTTGACGTTAGTATAACGTTAATTCGACGTTGATTTAACTAACTTTAGGTAGAACCTACCAAAATATTTGCAGATGACGTATGCCTCCAAGTGTACGAAAAGAAATTTTATACTTATTTGGTATTTTTATCTATATATAAGTAGAAATATTGTAAGAAGTCACCAACACAACTAAAACATATACCTAATTCACATGAAAGATTGAAAATAAATAAATGTCGGTGATAAAAATATATGTAATGTAATTGCGGTGAATATACAGTTCACGCTTGTTGAAATTAATGCGAAGAAAATTTTGTCGTGCATGTTAACAGTTCTACTTAGAAAAATAACAATGCCCTTCCAAAATACTCTCTAATTAAAAAAATATAAGAAAAAAATATGATCGTGTAAAAAAATAATAATATTATGAGCTAAAACTATGTTACGTTTGTTGTGTATCACTTTAGAAAATCAGTAATGTTTCGTTTTTCGGTATTTTCATTCGTATGTTTTAGTTATGGTCATTTTAAATTTGGAATCGTACTTCAATTACGTTAAGAAAATATGGCGTATTGTGCGAATTTGACCTAAAAGTTATTATGACTAAGGAAATCTACGTATTTTACAAATACCTTTTTACTAAGTTGAATTAACTTCAATTTCACGACATATTAGTTAACTTTACCTATTTAAAGAAATAATAACTTATAGGTTTTATAAAAAATTTACCTATAGGTAAATATAACATATTTAGGTCATGTTGTTCTGCACTTGAGATTTTAGACGTTTCACTTTACGATAAAAATCGGAAGTATAACGATATGATTTAATTATTTTTCGAACTCATTTTATTAATTATTTTTCGCACTCATTTAAAGCTCTATCTACACCACACGTAAATTAAGATTACGACTATAATGGTTTTTTTAAAATGGCCGAAATTCTTAAGAATAATGACGAAGACAGTAACTGAACAACCTAATTGTTAAAATAACCTAAATAATATAAATTTTACAAATAGGTCATGTATGACTCTTTTTAAATTGGTGGTTTTTAGTCGAATTTACTTTGTGGTAGATTTTTCAGGTAATTGCTACAACAAAGTTAATAAATATTTCTTCAAGATGACTTATAGGTCAACTAAATGAGTATTCGACTATTTGGTTGAAATTAGGTAGATAAACAGGTAGAATTTTGCTACGATCTCGATCTAATATTACTTTAAAGGAGAGTAAATTAAAGCGGCCAAATAGGTTACTATGGAGGCATAAAATTACGTAGAATTTTTAACCAAATCTACCTAGTTGGATATTCTACTATAAAGACGATTTTTAGTTGCCAAACAGGTAGATATTACCTAAATATGGCACCTAATTTTACTACAAAGGAAATTTAACTTTGAAGTAATTGTTGGTTATTTTTTTTAGTAGTTTTTCCCTTGCTGATATGGTTAAAGTTACTTTTAAGCAGATTTGTGTAAAAGGTAGATTTCTTGGTAGAATTTACGTAAATTTAAATATAAATAAAAACCGTTTGGTAAATTTACATTAGAGGTATATTTTTCTAGTCAATTTTACGTAATAATTACCTCAATAAGTAAATTCGTCTTTAACAAAGTCGAGTTATAACTAATGTTATAGAAAATGTTTGCTGGGGTGTCTATCCATTATAAATTACTTTCAAAGCATATAATATGTTTGTTTATTCTTAAGAAATGATAAAATCTATTACATATAATTTGTTTTATATTTTTAAAAATAAGTAACTGCCTTAATTCCTATTTTTTGACATCCCTCGTATATGCTAAAAAAATTAAAATTTATCACTTCAAGTGGTAAGAATGCTACCTTTAAGTATATAAGGGAAAAGTAAACTGGATTTTTTTATTGTTGAGTTTCAGAAATATTAATTTCTCCTGGTTTTAAAATAAGATGAAATTATTAAAACGGACCTACAAAGGCACTTTGTGCACCAATTTCACCAGTACTCCTGTGACCTAAGGGGTAAATTCAGTTTGGCTTACTTTTTTCAAAAGGGATTGTTGTTCCATTTTAAATATACAGTTTACTGATATCTACCTATAAACAATATTAACAGTGTAATTATTTGAATTATAAGTATCATTTATTACATTTGAATAAAAAATAGAATTTAATTTTTGTAAAATGAAATTTTATGCATGAGTTGCATTGTTCTTTAAATTTGTTATTGACAAAATATTTACAAAAGAATGCTTTGGGTTCTGATGAAAAAACTATTTGATACGCCCATGGGGACTACGGCTGTCAAAAGTTCGTAGATACTGGCTTCAAACAAAGTCTATGTAAAACTGCGCCCGTAACACATCTATATTTCATTTGTTTATCTGAGGTTTAGATTTACTCAGATACATGGATTGCTTTTATCTAGAGCAGTTAGAGGAGATACTCCTAACTATAAATTAATAGCATCTTCTGTAGGGACATGTTTTTTAAAACCATATTGATATTATACCATACTTTGATGTAAAATTTACAAATACTCACGTTCTTTTGAAGGATTTAAATTAAGTTGCTGCCTCATCGATTCTTCCACCTTTTCTCTAGTCCCAAAATGATTCCATTTATACTCTGTTAACTTAGACACAGGCTTAGGCGCATATGTGGTCACTGGTTTTTCGGTAGGTTCTTCTGCTTGAACCTCATCGAATAGGTTTTCATCTTCATATTCGAACTCATCATCTTCATCATCCTGAAAAAAATATATATATCTGAGCATAGAAAAATAAAAAGAGAAGGTTTGAATAAATGGCGGGACTTGTTTCCTTGTTGGTAGTTGAACCGTAAGCGCTTAGCGCGCTGCTATCACTAAATTCAAACCCGTTTTACACCCATAAAAAAATATGTTTTCAAAAATAATGAAAAAGAAATCAATAATTTTACTGATTTACCCCTTTAAATTTCACTTTAAGATAATGTGTGATCAAATAGAAGGATAATCGTTAACAAATTTAAAGTTAAAGCTAAATTTAAATATTATTAGATGTGTAAATCTGGCTTTGAAAATAAATTAGGTTATGTTGCTATAAATATGTCAGCCTGATATTATTTTCATTTTCAAATGCAGGTGATATTTTTTTCAAATGGGGGTGAGTAAATTGTATTAATTAAGTGTAAGTTAGATTTAACTAATTTAACTATAGGGAGGTTCTTAAGAAAATCATTAACAATTCATTTAAATTTTAATTGCAGAAGTAAGTATTTTTCTCACAAAACTAACAAGAAATTTTATGTTTTTACTGCTATTAGAGATAAATGGATCCACATTTTAAACATTTGTGGTCAAAAAAATGAAAGGAGTTGTGAGCGAACTGTGTGAAGCCAATTTACAAACAAATATTATAGAACCTCATCCTAGTTTTACTCATAAAGACCAAGATGAAAAAAGGCCAATGATTTGTGCTCAAAAAGTTATTGTCCAATTTTTGAGTGATATTCATTATTATATTTATCAAATAATACCCAAATATGTACAAAAACTTATATGCTATTTAAGGTCAACTTGTTAATTTTTGCTTAGTTCACCTATTAAGATCATAAATCAGATATGTTTTCTATTTTTATTGAAATTTTTATACCTTTTATTGCAAGAAAAATGTAAAAATTTAAAAAAGTTATGACTCTTGTTAATTTTTAATTTTAAGATACACACTGCACCTTTATTTTTGTTTTGTTTTAGATATTCCTCGATATGGAGATTTTTTGGAATGTACATAAATGTGTTTCTTAATTAGGGTGAGTTTCAAAGCCCACCTGTATTGAAGCTGGAGGCTTATTGTACCCGAAATAGGCATTACAACTATTCTAAATTGAAATAGATGCAGAAAGGCCTTAAAGGGACAATAAGTATAAGAATATTAGAATTAGAATGATTTGTCCTTGGATTAATAAGGGATATTTAAAACATTAAAACAATTTGACTTTTTATAAAAACTATATCCGGTTTTTTTAATAACAAAAACATTGTCATGTGCTATGCTGGTTATCATATTATATTTTTATTTTTCAGTAATTTAGTGTGTGATATAGTGCTTGTTATGTTCAAAATGAAACACATGTAATTACATGGTAATTCTAAATAAATTAAACTTGTTAAAAATGTGTTTTATTTTTCAACTAATTTTATTTTTCAGTTAAAACAAGTGACATTTTCCATTTTTCAACATTTACCTACAACAAAAATTCACTAAACTTATTGTTTGTTTAGTAGTTGTAAGTAAAAGTTGTCAAATAGGAAAATGTTACTTCAAAGTGCTTCAAATTCTAAATTATTAAGCCCGCCATTTTAAATCGCTCTAATTAGTAGTGTTCTACTTTATCGGCTGAAACTGACAGGTGTAGTTCAACCGTAAGCGCTTAGCCCGCTACTGTCGAGGTCAAGCAAACTTGTTACCAACTATTTACATGAAATCCAACCCCCGTGTATCTGAGTATCTCTTATAAGAAAAATTTGTAACATACAATAAACATGCTGTAAGAATATTTATATGAAACAATATTATAGTGCTGTTTTGTTTTCAACAGCATGGACTTCTTTTTTTATATAAATCAAAATAATTATGTTAAATTACCTAATATGAATCTCATCTGAAGAGTTCTGTTAAATTTTGATGCCATAATTTTATTTTTATAAGATACTGGTTTTTATGTTGGTAACATAATATCAATATTCTATTCTAGAGAGAAAATGTTTAAAAAAGAAATTGCAGTAACACAAATAGATCAATTACCAATCAATCTTTTTATGATAGTCAATAATTTCTCCGGGAATCTAAATAGGGATTTTAAATACAAAATAAAAATTCTGTCTGAACCTCACCGGTGAAAACTCTTATAATAAACCATTGTCCAATTGCTTAACCATCTAAAAAATGTTGTTGCCATTATATTAAATACTTGTTGGCCCATTGAAATTCTTATTACCGATAACATTCACCATTCACTACATTCCCTCATTGGCCATGCAAATGAACGTATTTATTCATCTAAACGCACATTTATCAGAGTACCCAGTCGTTTTTAATTCAAGGTGGTTTTTCTACATTCCGAGAGAAATTTTTTGATGAAATTAGAGGATATACTTACAAGTGTAAGTGTATTGTGTATCATAGACACAATATTATTTATGAAAGACTCATCTACAAGTAACATTTACACTATTCTTTAGATTTTATATCTACCTATAATATCCTTTAATCCTTCCTACAATATTCAGGGAATAATTTAAGAATATCCGGAACATAACTAGAATAAGTTTGTATGATTAGTCTTAAAATATTCCCAATAAATAGTTTAATATCCTAGATATTCCTAAAATAATCCTGAAAGAATATTATTCTCAAAATATCTAAAATTTTCCCAGTTATACATTCCAAGAATATTCCTGATGGCATTTATGAAAGATATTCTCAAAGTTATTCAGAATTAAAAAAAAAACATATTCATAGTATATGCAACGTATATCCAGACATATTTGGAATAACCTACACTTGTCAATTATCCTCTAAGGCCCGTTACCATTTAAAATTCATATTAAAAAGTATTCATCACTATTATATTTGAACGCTTTCAAGCTAACGTTCATTTGGTTCAATGATCCTTTCAAAGAATATGATTGCTGTCATTTCCAGCGGTGTTTTATCTTTTGATTATAATTCGTATTCTCATCATTAGAGGTGGTCCGAGAAGTCCGAGAAACATAATTAGTACAACCGCAGGCTGATAATTTTTTTATTAAAGTAATTTCATATGTTGCCTGGCTACTTTATACATAATGTAGTTAATGATATTAGAAGGCGGTGGTAAAATAGTTTCAATCACTTTAGGTAATATACACGTTAAAGAATAATAATTGTGATTTATGTTTTATGTTTAAAAAGAGTCAATATCCAACAAGCTGCATGGAATAATACTACATTAATACAAAGAAAAACATAGGTATTAAATACCCCAAAGGGATTTAATACAAAACAAAAGGAAGGCTCGAAAAGAGTGACCAAAAATAAGAACTGAAGAGAACATAAACAAATTAATAATAATAAATTTATTCACTTTAAAAAAGGAATTACAATTTTAACTTATATTTAACAGAAAAAAAAATTGTCTATGTGAATAAATAGTGGTTCCACTAAAGGCGAACCTTGTGCGTGGGATCCTTTGAGAATTATATTCTACATAGCATTTCTTTTTTTTACTATTTTTTCTTTTATTTATTATAGAGACAAATTAGCTACAGCATTGAATAGTTTATAAATAATTATTGTATACATAAATAATTGGATAATTGCAGGTAAGTTCTTTTTAGATTATAGTTATATTTAAATTAATAAAGTCATGAAATTTTTGTCGTTGCTTAGTTAATATCCATTGTTGTAATTTAGACCTATAAAGAGCTATAGAATTTAGGTTTTTAAATTCCACCGGAAGTGCGTTAAATATTTTAGGACCGAGATATACAAAACTTCTTTGCCTTAGAGTCTTTTCCATTCTAGGTACGGTGATCACATGATTTTTATAACGCGTTGGGTATAAATGTTGTACCGGAGTGCTAAGGAAAATATGCTTCTTCTGAAATATTGCTACACGTAGGTAAAACAGTTGTCTCAAATCCAAAACTTCTGCTTCTCCAAATAAACGTTCTGTTGGGTAAGTATAGTTTTTATTATAAATAATTTTTAAAATCCATTTTTGTATTATTTGTAAATGTTTAATATGGATATCTGCCGCACCTCCCCAAGCGATAATACCATAGGTTAGATGAGTCTGTATTAATGCATAATAGAGCATCTTTAAGTGGGGGATATCCAAAAAACATTTTAAAAATTTAAATTTTGCTAAATGGAATCTAATTTTCTTTATAACACTACTAATGTGTGCATTCCACTTTAAATTACAATCTATTATAATTCCCAAGTATTTAGTTGTTTTTGACATTTTTATACAAACATTTTCATTGTTGTAATTTATATTAATTGAATCATATTCAGGTAAATTTGAATCGTAACTAGTAAATGGAAGAAATGTTGTTTTATTAAAATTAATTGTTAACAATTTGTTACGAAAAATATCTAAAACAATAGGTAGGGAGTTAATTATTTTTTTCTTTAGGGTATTCCAATTAGTATCTTGGTAGTAAATGGCCGTGTCGTCGGCGAAACCTATGATTTCTGCGGGTATAGGTATTTCAAGAAGGGCGTTAATATATATGTTAAACATAATAGGACCAAGAACGGTACCTTGGGGAATGCCAAATTGTATTGTTTGCTTATCACTCATAGAGTCGCCAATACTGACATACTGTTCTCGATCAGTTAGGTAGCTCTTTAGTAGTTGATAGGCTACTCCTCTGATACCTAAGGTATTTAATGTTTCTAATAAATCTGGATGACTCACCGTGTCAAATGCTTTGGCGAGATCTACAAAGATACAAATTGCAGGCATTTTTGTGTCTATAGATTTGTATATTTTGGATGTTATGTCAGCAATTGCATCTTCGGTAGACCTCCCCTCCACAAACCCATATTGTTTAGAAGATAATAATTTGTATTTGTTGATAAAATTACACAATCTGAATTTAATTAATTTTTCTATTATTTTACTCATACTGGACAGGATCGTTATGGGTCTGTAGTTTGACATTTCTATCTTATCCCCAGCTTTATAAAGTGGTTTTATAACTGCATTTTTTCGAGA